ATGTATGCTAATAATTTTAGTATAACAATGTAAATATGAAAATAAGGAAATTTTATTGATTTTTAAAATTAGGGAGCTCTGGTTATATAGTAGGAGTTCTGGTGGCATAGTGCCTAAGGCATTTGACTGCTAACCAGAAGGATGGAGGTTCAAACCCACCAGGCACTCCTCGGAAGGAAGATGGGGCAATCTACTTCCATAGAGATACCACCTCGGAAACCCAAGGAGGGGTCGCCATGAGTCAGATCTGACTCCATGGCAGTAAGTTTGGTTTTTTTTGTTGTTGTTGTTTTGTTTTGGTGATATCGTGGTCAAGCCTTTTTTTTGGCTGCTAACCAAAAGGTCAGCAGTTTGAACCCACAAACTGCTCCACGGAAGAAATGGGCAGTGTGCCTCCATAAAGGTTTAAGGTCTTGGCAACCCAACGGTGTCACGGGTCACTACGAGTCCAAATCGAGTCGATGGCAGTGAGTCTGGTTTATAATTATTAATAATATCATTTAAGAGATAAATATTTGACTTATTTTGATAAATTTAATATATATCTACTAAAATAGATAGATTTTATTTATTTCAATATATATTATTATTTATAATACTAAATGCTACTTAATAAATTCATTCATCTTAAACAAATGGTATAAGCATATAATTACTAAAAATAAGTACATTTATTTTATGTTATTGTTATTAGGTGCCTTAGAGTCGTATCTGACTCACAGCGACCCCCTGTTCAGCAGAAGGAAACCCTGCCTGGTCCTGCCTCACCCTCCGTCCTGGGTTTATCTGAGCACATGGTTGCAGCCACCATGTCAGTCCACCTTGTTGAGGGCCTTCCCCTCCTTCACTGACCCTCCACCTCACCAAGCATGACATCCTTCTCCAGGGAATGGTCCCTTCTGACAACATGAGCAAACTAAGTGAGACGAAGTCTGGCCATTCTTGCTTCCAAGGAGCATTCCAGCTGCACTTCCTCCAGGACAGACCTGTTAGTTCTTTCAGCAGTCCATGGGACTTCAGCATTCTTTGCCAGCACCACAGCTCAAAAGCATCAATTCATCTTTGGTCTTCCTTATTCATTGTCCAGCTCTCACATGCATATGAGGTGATTGAAAATACCATGGCTTGGGTCAGGCGCACCCT